AGATCACAGCCTGGAAAACCTATGGATCAGTTCTACTCTGCAAACATGGGATCATCATGAATCAGAATCAACTCGACAGCAACTAACAACAACAATATTTCTTTGAATATAGCTAAGTATAAATTGACATTTGGGTATAACTTCTTTTATTTATATGGCTGCAGCATCCTTCCCTGCTGTATGCATAGCTGCTGTCTTGTCAATATTGATTTCAACCCAGATTTTTCAGTCTTTATCACGCATCACAAAATATTTAAGTAAATGAATATTATCTCCTCTCAAAGTCTAGTTTTTCAGTGATAAATGGAACAAAAGTTCACTAGCACTTCTGTCCTCGTATACGTATCAGATATGCCAACTGAAAACACCCCATAGCATTGTTCACATATTAGAAATTGTTTTTCCACATCTGATGGTGATAAAGGAATTTTGCCAAAAATTAATTCTGAATTTTCTCTGAGTGTAACGGTTGTCACAAACTTTCTGGTTAGTTTTTTACAAAATAGTGCTAGAAGTAGTTCATTTGCTCTAAGCCATGCAATTTTTGTTGATGCCAATGTAGTTTGGGCCTCTTATATCCCTTTATTAATAATATTCATCAATCAGTATTGTAAAGCATTATTTTCTGCTTTGTCTGGAAACATTTGATTGGTTACCAGAGAGGTCCCTGTGCTTTGTATGAAAATATTATGAAAGCTACAGTGGCATCATTGAATAAAGTTTCATAACAGACTATGATCTACACCTAATAAAATGCAGTATTCAGATATTTATTGTTTTAATTCTTCTTTCCTAAAACCTGTCTTTTTTACCTGATATATCATATTTGCAGATGTACTTGTCCTGATACATATATCTACAAGTTCTATATTTGACCCAAAATCAAGTTCAGTATTTATGTTTTTAATGTTTCCCTGAGCTGTTACTGTTTTTCGTCACTGCTTTTGTACTTGAATGAATCACTTTTGAGCCATTGGTACATTTTGAGAATTAGGAATAAAATACAACAAAATGGTAACTATGAAACTATTAATTAAAAATTAATTAAAAACATAACATTAATATGCCCATTGCCATGAAGTTAATTCCGACTCATAGTAACCCTATAGAACAGAGTAGAACTGCCCCATAGGGTTTCCAAGGAGTGGCTGGTAGATTCAAACTGCCGATCTTTTGGTTAGCAGCCATAGCTCTTAACCACTGCGCCACCAGGGCTTCAACATTAATACAGCACTAGTATAAAGTTAAGAACAATGACAAGAGTAAATGACATGAGACAAACAACATCTTGTTAGCTAAATGTTAGCCAGGATGAACCAATCAGTGCATTCTTTACAGTGCATGCACAGTCTCAAATGTTAAGACCATAAAGAGATTTGTATAAAAAAATCATGATTAGTTAGGTGCAACCCTGCCAGTATGCCCCACAAGCTCTGGCACAGAAAGAAACCATTATACACATGGAGAAATTAATTCTTAGAGAGGTGATGTGACTTACCCAAAGTTTCACAACAAGTGTGAATCAAACCCTAGTTGATCAAGTTGGGCAATTAGCTGTCTCACTGTAAAGTTCCTCAGCCATCACCTCCTTTGGCATTAATGAGGAGTGACTGAAAGAGATGAGGGTTTTTGGCTTAGGAAATAGAAGTCTAGCTGGGAAGCAAGAAATGACCAAGGTAGCTGTGTTCAAATATGTGAAGGACATTCCTGAGAATAAGCAGCAGTTTTGTCTGGGTAGGTGGTCCTGAGGGCAGAATTTAGGTAAGTAGGAGAAAGTTACAGGAGAAAAAGTTTGGCTCACCAGCAGGAAGAACTTTCTGATAAGTGGAATCTTGTGCCTGCAGAGGCAGGGAGCTTCCAGGTCTGTTCCAGTTCACTCAGAGCCTGGGTGGGAAGCACTTGGCAAGAGTGTTGAGGAGGGGAGTGCTACACCAGTAGAAAGGGTAGGAGCAGGTGATCTGAATGATTTTCTAGCTTGACTCTGGTGAAGACCTGGAGGGGAGTGGGACTGAGGTGCTGGGATAGGTGGACTCATAGGCCCTTTCTGCACCTAACTCTCTGGTGCCTTGGGTTGGCTCAGTTTGTCTCTTGGCTGCTCAGCTCCAGCCCCACCTGTTTCCTGGGTGGCAAAGGGGAGTCTATGGGGGCCAAGATGAGAGACTGCAACCTCTCCCTCCCAAAGACACTTGGGTTGCTTCTCCAGACCTAAGTCTACACTGTGGCCCCTTCCCCTGCCCAACCTCCCGATTCTAAGGTTAATCATAAGAGCAAGAGAGAAGGGACTCAGGGAACTGTCTGCACTTGGCAGTCAAAGCTGGAGAAAGCTGAGGGGGCTCCCTTCAATCCTTGGTCATTCTCAAATCACAGGACCCTTTCCCTTTCTACTTGAAGAATATAGTTGGAGACCCTCTAGCTTAACTGTCTCACTAGCAAGCTGTGGGATTCCATATCCAATAAAGTCTAACTTGCCCTTAAGTAGAATTACAGCAGCAATGAAATATCATGACTTAAGACAAGGCGAAGAAGACAGGGATCACTTGGTTTGCAATGTGACCAAGACATCGGTGTCACTGGTGTCATTGGCATATCTTTCCGAGGATAATGATAGAAGATTTTAGAGATTTAGTTAACCCATCTCTTTGCAATGTTGTAGTATTGGCTGTATGCCAAATTATAGGTGACAGAAGGCTTTTAAGGAATTCAAGAATTCTCTATTGCAGGGTTACAGGTGGACACTGAATATAGGGTTAACTATACTCTCCCAGGCCCAGGACTGATATGCTGCTGGTTTGCACTGGGGATAAAATTCTAAGGCTAAAATATTAATATATTTCAGTACTGGTTTGTAAATAGCCACTGCCCAAGTCCCTCAAGTACCCTGGGCCTTAACCACACCAGTTCCTCCCCCTGGGCTCCCCCCACATCTCCCTGCGAGCCAGCAAACACTGGGTAATGACCTCAGAGGACCTTCCAGGACCCAGCTTCTGCTGAGGCCAAAGTTGTTAAATATTTTAAATTCTACCCCTGATTAGGTCTCAGTTCTTTTGCCTGACAGAGGTGACATGAGACTTGGGGTCAAGCACTTCAATGGCAAGAAGCCAAATTTGGAAAAATTCTAGTGTACTATATAGAATGAGAGGAAATTCAGAGGCATTTTTGACCAGAAGAAAAGTCAGGGAAGGGCTGAGTTCTGATTCACAATATCACAACGTGAGGTAAGATAGATGATAGATAGATAGATAGATAGGTAGATAGATAGACAGATAGGTAAAACACTTAACCTCTTTGTAGAAAAGTGGATTTAGTTTTATAAAGCCTAATTAATGCATTCCAAGAGCCTCTGAAGAAGGACAGTAAAAGTTCTCTTTAAATCTTTAAGTCACAATTTGTTAATTACTGTTATTATTCCTCTGATAGTTCTTAGTACAGCAGAGTACACCAATTTTTTATAATGCAGGATCTTCCTTGATATCTCTGTCACATTTAATAATAAAAACTAACATTTACTGAGCACATACTATGTGCCAGACACTATTCTAAACACCTTACAGGTAGTGTCTAATCCTCCCAAATGAGGTAGATACTACTGTCGTGGTCTGTCAGACCCTACTATTTATTGAAAACCTGCTATAGGCCAGGCACTTTCATAGAAATTACTCCATTTAATCTTTGTCTTAGTTTTCTAGTTCTGCTATAACAAAAATACCACAAATGGGTGGCTTTAATTAACAGAAATTTATTTTCTCACAGTTAAACTCCCCCCCCCCCGAAAAAAAAAACCCATTGCCGTCCAGTCGATTCCGACTCATAGCGACCCTATAGGACAGAGTAGGACTGCCCCCACAGAGTTTCCAAGGGACACCTGGTGGATTCAAACTGCCAACCTTTCGGTTAGCAGCCGTAGCTCTTAACCACTACACCACCAGGGTTAGGAGGCAAGAAGTATGAAATTAAGGCACCACCTCTAGGGGAAGGCTTCTCTCTCTGTCAGCTTTGGGTGAAGGTCCTTGTCTCTTCAGCTTCTGTCCCTTGGCTCCTTGGTGATTTTCATGTGGCATGGCATCTATCTTCCCCCATCTCAGCTTGCTCACTTGCTCATTTAATCTCTTTTATATCTCAAAAGAGATTGACTTAAGACACATCCTACACTAATACTCTCTCATTAACATAACAAAGAAAACCCATTCCCAAATGGGATTATAACCACAGATATAGGGGTTAGGATTTACAACAAGTATTTTTGGGGGACACAATTTAATCCTTAACAATACTCCAACATCTACCTTAAGACAGGCATCATCATCCTCACTTTAGAGACAAGGAAACTGAGGCTCAGAGATGAAGCCACTTGCTCACTGTCAACCAGTCAATAATCAGCAGAGTTGCAGCTCCCATGTAAGTCTTCTATCTCAAAAGCCGTACTTTGCTGCCTCCTGTGTTTTCCCATCTCCCAAATAATTCCTTCTTCTAGGGCCTTTTTTCATTCCTATCTTTACATTTTCATGGTCATCTTCAACTTTTTAGATTGGTTATTTTCTTCCTGGGAACCCTGGTAACATCTGGCCTTAAGCCTTGCCCCTCTTTAACCAGTCTATGACCTGCTTTTCATTAAAATGTCTCCTAGGTTTAGTATCCGTTAATCCTTGCCTGAAGCACTCTTTACCTTGATGGCTACAAAATGATTATTTTTCTAAATCTAGCACTTTGATCTTCCAAATCCTACACAAGTGGAATCACAAAGCTGGCCCTATAGCCACTTCCTGATCCAGTCAAACAAACTTACTTAATGACCTCTGTATCAGTTAAAATACTTTCGGTTGAAGATATCTGACTAATTGTCACTTACAAGATAAAGACATTTTGTTATTGCACATAACAAGGAGTATGGAAGCAAGTCAATTCCAGAGTAGCTTAATTTAGCAGTTCAAAGATGTCATCAAAGACTCAGGCTCTTTCCTTCTTTACAGTCTACCATCTTGCTGTGTAGCAATGTCTTCCCTTTCTTCAACAGCACATATTCCCTAAAATTGAAACAATATAGAGAAGATTAAGACGACCTCTGTATGAAGACGATATCTTAATTCATGAAACATTTCGTATTTTTCTCAAATACCTCCTTCAATGGGGCTGTCCCTGGTAACGCTATTAAAGATTAAAGATTATAAGCCACTCCCATGGTATTTCCTTTCTTTTTTCCCTATTTCATTTTCTTCCATGTAAGTTATGGCATGATTTGTTGTGTTTGTTGCCTCTACCCCACACTAGAATGTAAGATCTACAAGGGCAGATATTTTAGTCTATTTTGTTTAACTTGTATCCCTAGTACCTATAACAGTGCCTGGCACATAGGAAGCACTCGATAAATATTTATGGAATGAACGAATAGCCACAAGATAGTTGCTGCAGCACTAAATATCACATCCTCAAACAACATCCTAAGCAGCAAGAAAGGGGCAGGGAACAAAAAGGGCTCTTTTTTTCCTCAAGGCTTGTAGCTTTTATCAGAGACTTTCTCAGAAATCTCACAGCAGACTTTCCCTAAGTTCACATTGACTAGAACTGGGTCACATGCTCACCAGTAGGCCCCATGAGGCAAGTGTGAATGGGATTACCATGATTGGTTTAAAGCAATAATGATTCACCTCCCAGGGCTAAGCAAAGAAAAACTATGTCCTTCCTTTAGTAAGAGAGGGCGGTTATGTGAGGCTATTGTGTGAGCAACCTACAATGTTTGCTGTAGCAGCCATGTATGCTCTTGAGAACATCCTCTAACCCCTATACTCTTCTCTTTCCCCATGACTAGGACAATTGTCCTTTATCTGACTAGCTCCCATAGGACTCATCTCTCATTCTTAAAAGTACAGCTCAATGTACCTAGTCCCAAATCTTGGTCTTTAATACCATTCTCCACTAAAAGAAGCCAAGGCTCCTAGGAGAAATGGCTGATTCCAGAGCTGGCACAGGATAGGTGCAAGATGAGCCTAGAACAGCATATTGTGCCAAGAAGTAAGGAAGCATTCAAGAAAATGATGGGTCCATGTCACAAAGACACAGTAACCAGACTGAAAGGGCTCCCACTGTCCAAACATGGAAATTTAAGCACCAAAATAATTAAGGACAGTAATGAACTATAGATAATTGATGAAAAATAGCAATCTATGAGTTCATAGTGTTCATAATCCGTCATAATAGTCTTCATAATCCATCAACCTGGTGGATGATGGGGAGGGGTGGAGATAACATTCTTGCCAAATAGAAAGGAATGAAAGAGGTAGGGTAGTGGTGAAGAACATAGGCTCTGAAACCAGACAGCCCAGGTTCCAGTTCTGAATCTGCCACTTAATAACTGCATAACAGTTAAATGAAGGAGAAGGGAGGGCTTATGCGTATAGTAGAATACTGAGGGCTGACTGGTAAATGTGGAGGGTGTGCTAGAAGTGGAAAAATCATAATTTTGCAGCCATCATGGTAAAGATTGCTTCAGGCAGGGATCAATGGATACTAAATCTAGGGAACATCTTAATGAGAAGCAGGTTATTTGCAGGCTCTTAGAGTGTCTTCCTACAGATTACAAGAGACAAAATAGTAACTATACAGTGAAATGATTGAACAATACTTTAACTGGGTGATCAAAACTAATGTGACCAATGACAGGCAGATAGACAGCACATACCTCCAGATATGATACCTTATGAAGTACATAATGTCACTTATATGATACTCTAGCCTGGAATATATAACCTGAGCCTAACTGTCATGGATTGAATTGTGTCCCCCCCAAAATACATGTCAACTTAGTTAGGCTGTGACTCCCAGTATTGTGTGGTTGTCCTCCATTTTGTGATTGTAATTTTATGTTAAAGAGGATTAGGGTGAGATAGTAACACCCTTACTAAGGTCACAACCCTGATCCAATATAAAGGGAGTTTCCATGGAGTGTGGCCTGCACCACCTTTTATCTTACAAAAGGTAAAAGGAAAGGGAAACAAGCAGAGAGGGGGGACCTCATACCACCAAGAAAGCAGCACCGGAAGCAGTGTGCATCCTTTGGACCAAGGGTCCCTGCACCGAGAAGCTCCTAGTCCAGGGGAAGATTGATGACAAGGACCTTCCTCCAGAGCTGACAGACAGAGAAATCCTTCCCTGGAGCTGACACCCTGAATTTTGACTTCTAGCCTACTAGACTGTGAGAAAATAAATGTCTCTTTGTTAAAGCCATCCACTTGTGGTATTTCTGTTACAGCAGTACTAGATGACAAGGACACTAACCATGATGAAACATCAGTCAAACATAATGAAGAACGTTATATTATTTAAAAGGTGAGAGGTGGAGAGGACTGTATTCTAAAAGAAAGTCTATGTCCTAAAAGACAAAGAAATGCTGTAGAAATATTCTAGATCAAAGGAGGGTAAAAAGACATGACAAGTGAATGCAATACCTGCTCCTAGACTGAATCCTGTACTAGCAGAAACAAACAAAAATGCTATAAAAATAGTCAATTGCCACAACTGGAATACAGAATAGTCCATATGTGGAACATAGAAGGTAGATTATATTAAAGTGTCATATCAATGTTAAATTTAATGATATTGATAACCATAATGTGATTATATAAGAGAATACTGAAGTACTGAGGAAGGCCATAATATATGCAACTTAATCTCAAATAGGAAAAAGAGTATACAGGTGTTCTTGTACAATTCTTGCAAATTTTCTATAAATTTGAAAGTATATCTAAATAAAACACTCTAAAAAAACAAACAAACAAAAAACCTACTGCTCACAATCCATCCCATCCTATTTAGAAGTCCTCCCTGATTAGCTTTGTGGAGTCTCTCAGTGCTCCAGAATAGTGAAGAATGTCATCTGTGGATTTGCATGTTTTGGCAAATATGAACTCACCCCAATTATGTGTAGGAGATCCTCCAGGAGAAGAATCATTATGCAGCAAATATTTAAATATTTACTGTGTGCCAGGCCCTGTGCTATCTGCCAGGATGAAAGGTGGCTAAGGAAAGCTGCCTGCCCTCAAGAAGTCCATGAACAGATATGTAAGCTGTGTGTCAAGTGCTATAATTAGAGGTATGCACAGGTTCTAGAAGAACCCAGAGGAGAGATACCTTATTCATCCTGAGGTGGTGAGCAGAGGTAGCAAAGGAGTGTGGAGAGGTCAGGGAATATTTACCAGAGAAGACTCTTAGGATAAGCCTTGAATGAATTAGCCTGGGGGAGGGAGGAGATGATTCTTGGCAGATAGAAAGGAATGAAAGCGGTAGAGTAGTAGTTAAGAACACAAGCTCTGGAACCAGACTCCCCAGGCTCCAATCCTGAATCTGCCACCTATTACCTGCATGACCTCGGATAATTTACTTAGCCTCTCTGTGTCTCATTTTCCTCATCTGTCATCTGGGGATGATGACAATACCTACTACATAGGATAGTTGGTGATGATTCAATTACTGGAGATGAAACATTTATGCCACCACCTGGCACATATAGGTGCCCAATAAATATTAGTTCCGTTCATGCCCCTTTCAAGGAACAAAAAGTTTCAGTCAGTAGAGTGCAGAGTTCACAGGAGGGAATGTAGAGAGAAGGGAGGGAGGATGTGACACCAAGCTAAGGAATTTGTACTTTAGCCTAAAGGCAATGGGAAGTTATTGAAGAGTTTTAACGACTTGATCTAATCTGCACTTTAGAAAGGTTCCTCTGGCATGGAGAATGAAGTAGGGTAAATAAGGAGGCAGGGAAGCCAGTGAAGAGGTCATTGCATCAGTCCAGATGAGAGAAGATGAGAGTTTGAGATAGGATAGTGGGTCAGAGTGGTTAGGGAGGACAGAACGTATTCAATAGACATTGTGGAAGTAGAAGTCAAGGTTAACTCCCAGGTGTCTGACTTGAACACCAGGACAGATAGGGAACAGAAAAGGAGGAAGATTTTGGAAGTGAGGGCAGGGGAGCAGGAAGAAATGATAAGTTTTATAGTAAATTTGAAGGGCCTGTGGGACATTCAAATGGAGATGTCTAATAAAAGATGGGATATACAAGGCTGAGACTTGCTATCTCTTAAGATTCACAAAGCAAATTCTAGCAGTTTCAAGCTGTGTGACCTTCTACTAGCTATGTGACTTTGCTAAGCCTCCATTATAAAATGATTATGATGATTAAAATACCTTAGGGTGAATGAAAAACACTCAATAAAATATAAAGTATGATACAAATGCTAGATATTTTTATTTTGCAGAGAGATGACACAGAAAAAATCAAATTCTCGGATCATCTTTTAGGAAACCTCGGGAAACTTTTCCCCTCTGGGGAAATGAAAAGAACCAGTAATCCATAGGAACACTCCTGCCTGTCCTCAGCCTGTGTTTTTCTCCCCTCTTAATTTACCTAGACTAAAAATAGCCGGTCCAAGGCTTGAAAATGAGTCTTAAATGAGAGGGAAGAAACCAGAGTTGAAATAAGGGACCACAGAGGTGAAAACTTGAGGTAGAATTCAAAGTTTGGGGTATGACACCTTTACTGACATTCAACCAACCTCTAGACACAATGTTTAAATTCCAGTCTCTGACCAGAGGCAGCCTTGTGAGGCCTTTTACAAGTGCTTGATTCTCATCTACTTTTATGAGGGTAGACCTGGTGTGTAACTACACAGGCCACACTATAGGCACCCTAATTCTATGTACCACAAACTAACTTTTCTCTGAAAATCCATAGAAGCTTGTCTGCAAAGATTGTACCCTTGCTCTAATGTCCTTGCCTGGTAATTTTCCTATAGAAGTCCCCAGCTCCACTTAGCCCCTCCCTTCCCCCAATTCTGTTAGAACAGCAGATACAGAATTAGCTATTTGGGTTGCAAAACTGACTCTATTTATAAGATGTGAAATATCCGAGGAGGGAATATATAGTCTTTCTATTCATTTCAGCTTGGAAGAGATTAATTTATTAATTAGTATTTTATTGGACTGTCATTTTTGTTGCATCCCCAGATCTTGTGGCTCTGGTCTTTGAATCAATCATTAGGTATTTTTTTAAAACATTTTATTGTGGTTTGGGTGAAAGTTTACAGAGTAAATTAGTTTCCCATTGGCATTTTGTTC